ATACTCATAAAACTCTTGACACATACGCACCTCTGCAGTGGCAGAAACAAAAATATAAAAAAGCATGGGTATCTGATGAAATAATAAAATTATCAAAAAAACAGAATCGACTGTATAAAATAGCAGTCGCTGCACCAAACTCCGCTAATGTTGAAAAATATAAAAAGTTTAGAAATTACTTTACATCAGTAAAGAGAAAGGCAGAAAAAAATTATTTTCAACAAAAATTTGAAGAGGCAAAGAGTTGCTCCAAACAAAAATGGGAAATAATAAACGGTATAATGAATAGAAAACAAAACAATCTTGAAATTAATAAGCTAAAAGTTGACGACAAAATCATCGAAGACCCAGAGGAAATAAGTATTCTTTTCAATGAATACTTCATCAATGTCACAGAGAAGCTGTTAGAAAATCAAATAGTTACTGAAGATAAATTAAAAATAAATAGTGCAATCTGTAAATCAATGTATATAAACTCCACCAATGAAGAAGAAGTAACGTACATTGTTCAAAACTTAAGCAACAAAAAAAGCACGTCAGATGATACTTTAAGTAACAATCTACCTAAAAAAATCATCCCAGAAATTGTCATCCCAATCACTCATATTTACAATCTTTCCATCGCCCAAGGAATATTTCCACAATGCTTCAAAACATCCAGAGTAGTTCCAATTCACAAAAAGGGAAGAAAATTAGAGACAAGTAATTATCGACCAATATCTCTACTTTCTCCACTTTCCAAAGTACTAGAAAAAATAATTTTTGTCAGAGTCACCTCATTTCTGTCCATAGATAAATTATTAAATGATAATCAATATGGCTACAGAGCACATCATTCAACTGAGCAAGCTGTGCTGCAATTAGCACAAAATGTTATGAATAATCTTAACGAAAAGATACTGACTGTAGGTGTATTCATAGACCTCTCAAAGGCCTTTGACGTCATCAACCACGATATACTGATTAAAAAATTAAATTCACATGGAATAAGAGGAAAAGTAAGTGCATGGTTCAAAAGTTATTTAGAGAACAGAGACCAGTATGTGGCAATAAAAAGTCACTCCTCAACAAAACTTAACGTAAGATCAGGCGTGCCACAAGGATCAATTTTAGGTCCTCTTCTATTCATAATCTTCATGAACGATTTTCAACATGCAACTGATGCAAATCACCTTCTATATGCAGATGACACTAACATCTTCTTCCCAACTAAAGACCCATTGAAAGAAGTAGAATACATCAATAACAGTCTTCAAAATATATCAACCTGGTTTATCAAAAATAAATTAATAGTAAATTATTCTAAATGTAATTACATTATTTTTGGTCCGAAAATTTTAACAAATATTATACCTAACCTAGACATAAAAATGAACAATATTGCTATTCCTCGCTCAACCAGCACAAAATTCCTTGGAGTAACAATCAAGGACAATCTTTCTTGGGATATTCACATATTCACATATTCACATATGTCTAAAAGAATATGCAAAACCCTAGGAGTTATAAGCAAAATTAAAAATAAATTAAATAAACCTACTCTAATTGACCTGTATTATTCGTTAATCTTTCCTCACCTCATCTACTGCAACGTAATTTGGGGAAACAGTCCTGACATTCATCTAAAACAGTTAACAAAATGCCAAAACCGATTCATCAGAATATTTAAAAATCTTCATCCTCATTGTCACACAAGTGAATATTATCTCGAAATGAAAATACTCAACATCAAAAACTTGTTCATCTACCACGTTGCAACATTCATTTTTAGATTTCTACGTCAGCAATTGCCGGCATTTTTTAGAAACTTTTTCACTTTTGGAACTTCCATTCAAGCAAGAACTACACGCCACACGCCACTTTTCTATGCTCCACCAGCCAGAATTAAAGTACTCTGCATGAGTTTGAAACATACCGGCCCAGGAATATGGGAGACGATTCCACAAGAAATTAAAGATTGTAACACTTTGCATCTTTTTAAAAATAAACTGAAAAATTTTTTAATTACGAAAAGGGTTAATTTGGTACGAAAGGTAATCTGTTTTTCAAGGATAATAATGTATATGTATATATATGTATATAAGTGTGTACATATTTCATTAACATTGATACATTTTCTCCTATTGACAATTTTATTTTATCATTGAGAAGCAATTTTGAGCTGCACGGTGGCCGAGCCCACAAGAATTAATTTTCTTTTTTTGGTCTCCGAATCATTCATGCTTTTTTTTTGTTTGATTGAATAAAAGTGATTTGATTTGATTTAATGTTTTTATTATTTTACTTTCTGTATCAAAATGTCATTTTGTATGACCTAGACTTTGTATATTCATGTGTGTGTGTGTGCGAGTGTATGTTTGAATGTTTGTGCGAGTGTATGTGTGTGTTTTTGTGTGTGCTTGTTTGTGTGAGTGTGTGTGCGTGCGAGTGCGTGTAACGATAAGATGATAGTTTGAGGTTTTGTCAAACCTAAGATAAATGGGCACTTAAAACACAGTTATGTTTGTGTGTAATTTTTTCATGGACACAAACACACACATACACACATACACACACACAAACATACATACACACATACATATACACACAGACGCAAACGTACAATTACGTAATTAAAATGTGCAAGAATAAATTAGTTATAAAATATTGAATTTTTTTATTTCAGCTACACCTTTTACTGCAGTTTTTACAAGAATTCATCACTTCTGATTTTGTTAAGAGTAGCTTGTGTGAATGTGTGTTGTGTGTGCGTATATGTGCATGTGAGTGTGAACGTGTGTGTTGTGTGTGTATTGTGTGTGTGTTGTGTGTAGTGTACTACTTTGTACCATACAATCATAAAATCTTAAGTATTTTTTTACTTGATTATTTTTTCATTCATTCATTCATTCATACATTAGTCTGTTTGTTCATTTGTTTGTTTGCTAGTTTTTTTCTTCTTTAGTTCATTTATTTATTCATTTTGGTTTGTTGATCTCGTTCGTTTGTTCATTCCTTCTATCATTCATTCGTTCGTTCGTTTGTTTTTTTTTCCGTTGGTTCGTTTATTCATTTATTCATTCATTTGTTCGTTTTTCGTTCGATCGTTTGTTTATTCGTTTGTTCATTCATTCATTCGTTTATTATTAATTTCAAAATTGAACTCGACTAAATAACTTCCAGCAAACTTCAAGTTAAGAGCAAACAACAGCAGACACATACTCACGCAGTCGATAATACCTCGGCCGCTATTAGCACGAAATCAAATTAGCATCCTTCTACACGGCGTAAAATTTTTGCCAAAATTTTACGTTCAACTCCTCGAGTTCTTCTCTGAAAAAAAAACTTCTGAATAGGAATAATTAAATAACTATTGAAATGAAATTATTAATACAATTGGACAAACACTCAACTGCCTACATTTTACATTTTAATATCATGCATGCTGAGACAAGAGAGAGAGAGGGGGGAAGGAAAGAAAAAAAGAATGAAAATGATCAAGATTAAAAGATAGAGGAATAGAGAATAAGAGAGAGAGAGAGAAAGAGAGAGGAAAAATCTGGAAGAGAAAAAGTGAGAGAAAGTTTGGAGAAAACTAGAAAAAGAGAGAAACAAGAGTAAAAAAGGGTGACAAGAAGAGGGATAAAAAAGAGAGAGAGAGAGGGAGAGAGAGAGAATAAAAAATGAAAGAGAAAGAAAGAGAAAAAGCGACAAGTCAACAAAAATATCCTAACTTTTTCAGTTATTTTCAAGTGTTAAGTAGAAGAATGCTCTCAAAAAATGCATTTTTAGTGGTTAATTCCAAATGCTTTGTTTCTACATTTATCTTATATTAAAAGTGGCCGAAAAAATTTTAAAGTGTAGGTGAGGTAGTTCTTGTTTTAATTTTAATAATAATTATGATGATTTTGAATTGAAGCAGCTTGTTGCATGTTTGTTTAGCATGGCTGTTGGGTATAGTTGTTAGTGGAGTTATTGGGATGGATGTAGAGGTGTATATTAATGTGCTTGTGAAAGTGTTAGTGCGGTTGTAATTGTTGATGTATGTGGGTGTTCATGTGTTATATGATTGTTGATGATATTGTTAATGTGTGTCAGGTTCATGTTTATGTTGTTTGTTTGTGAGGTTTTCAAAGTTAATAATGTTCGTTTAGTCGTCGATCTCTTCAAAGCTGAAGTTGTTGTTTCTTTTTGCTGATGTTGTAGTAGCTATTGACGACAGGTATGAAGTTTTTGTGGCTTAGTTACTAGCTTCTGCCACTTTAAGTGTCTTTAACGTGGTTTCGATTTTTCTAACAATGCTCCGTTAATTTCATTGTTAAGTGTGACAATTTTTTTTGGGTTAATCTCGATTCATCATATCAAATTTCTATACTTTCATTTTGACATAGATGCAATAAGATAAAATTTACCTTTAATAATTTAAAATGAACGAAAATTAAAAAATATAAATAAATAAATCGCCAATTCATTGAAAACATTCACAGCGCTTGAAAACTCCATTTAAAATGTCAAGTAGAACCGAAGCTGTCTTCCTCAGTGAATGCGCTGTGATGAATGACTCAATTGTTCGAAATCTTTCGCCATTAATTTATTGCTATTATTATTGTTGTTATTATTGTTATTATTATTGTCTAAATTTTAAAGGTTAAAAGGTTAAAGTTCAAAGGTTAGTCTTTCTTACTGCACTTACTTCATGAGAAACAGAAACATACGCGCATACAAATAGACACAGACACAGACAGTGTATGTCTGGGTTGGGCAAACTACGGCCCGCGAAGCTATTTCATGCGGCCCGCGAGGCCTTGTTTGCTAAAAAAAATCGTCAGCCAGACCTTATGACCAAAAAAGGAACCACAAATTTCAAAAAATTTCTCCCTTAGGTCGAAAAAAGTTGCTATTTAAGTACATATGCGGCCGTTCAAAGGTAAAGTAGTTCTCAATGCGGCCCTCACAGCAAAAAGTTTGCCCACCCCTAGCGTGTGTGAAAAAGGGCAAAGACGCAAATATCATAGGAGGAAGACCATGCGCCTTTAACCATTACGCCATCGTACTTAATGAGTACATTAATAAATTTTTTTATTAATTTTTCTTTGTGTAACATTTAACTGAAATTCCTTTCAGCGTGCTTACAGAAGAAAAAATTTATAAAAATCTCGCTAAAATAAATTCTATTCTGATGGATCAATCTACAAATTCAATTTTTGTTGAAAATTAAACTTTAAGAATGAAAAATTTGAGTTTGTAGTAGCAAAAAATATCTGAAAAGTACTTGGAAATATAAAAATTTTCATGAATCAACACTCTAGAAGACAATAAATGTATGAATGTAGTACATCAATACTTTATGAACTGCTCCATGCAACGTATAACTGAAACAACAAGAAAGTCTGATTTTTAATAACCATAGAACCCTAAAAAACAAATTTAGTAAAACTTTGCTTACTCAGTTTCTCAAAAAGTTAACTTTAATTTAAATAACGACAATGGTATTCAATTCATGAATGAGCAATTTGTATCAACCTATTGTAATTTTATAATACGTTATGAATAATTTGAATGTTGCAGCAAATGAAAGGATATGAGAATGATTAACGAATAATTAATTAACCTGGTTAACTAGTTAATTAGTTTAATAATTAACTAATTACTTAACTAATTAAATGATTAACAGGAATGGTTCAAACAAAACGGCTGATTTTAAAAAGATGAAAACAATATGAAGAATGAAGCAGCAGGCAACAATGTTTTTATCGTTCGTTCATTCATCTCAATCAATCAGTCAATCATCATTAACTAATCAATCAGTCAATCAATCAATCATTCAATCATTTTCTTGTTCTTTATTGAACTATTGTATATATAATATTAAAATTATGTTCTTGTTTGTTTTGTATGTAAGTATATTAAATTACATTTAATATGTATGCATGTTTAATACTGTATATGTAGGTTTATGGAATACTAATTAACATGTATTTAAATAAAATTACTTCACAGTTTATTTAGCCTGTTGCAGATAGACCTGCATGAGACAGAAATTATCCCATTATTTTATTTAGTCTGTTGCAGATAGACCTGCATGAGACAGAAATTATCCCATTATTTTATTTAGTCTGTTGCAGATAGACCTGCATGAGACAGAAATTATCCCATTATTTTATTTAGTCTGTTGCAGATAGACCTGCATGAGACAGGCGAAGACCATCATAAGCATCTTTGGCTTCACTTCGACAACATCTTCTGGCAGCGCGTATACACACGCGCCGATTTTGCGCGCTGTTGTTATTGCGTAACTCGCTCGGTCTAGTTTGTCCTGAGACGTAGATATTGTTAAATTTAATTGAATCAATTAGGTTTCATCAGTTAGGATAGAGCGATCATTACAACTATTTTTTATTAAGATGAATTAGAGTTAGTTTTTTAATTAGAATCGCTTCTTTATTATCTTTTTCACAAGTGTGTTTTTCATACTTATATAAATTAATTAAATCATTTTTGGAAAATAAAATAATTTGAAATGGAGTCACCTGCTCACTACTTCCTTTCTTGATGACGTCATAATTGACACTTCCGGGTTTCAAAACCTCGATGAGATCCAGAATGGCTCCGGAGTTGGAAATGTTGGAGTCGTTAAACCCGTGAATCTGAGATGTCTTTCCGGATTTTGTTAACTGTGGGAGGATATTCAAAATCGTAGTTGATTAGTGGAACCATTTTTTTACGGTATGAAAATGTTTCAATTAGTTTTCTTCAGTAAGTGGTTGAATGATTACAGTTAAGTTGATCAACTCATAGTTAGCACCAACCATCCCCTCTTTAATCATCTTAGTCAGCGCGCCATTAACACCATCATCATTTTTATGTTATTTTTATCAATGATAACTTTATTATTATGTTATTAATATAATTAGTATAATTGTAATAATAATTATCACATATTATTATATTATTGAATGCGTACCGTATCGTTAACCCAAGCTATAATTTCCTGCTCTCTGATTGGCTGATCCGACGATGATAATTGGGTCAGGATAGTTAGGGCGTAGGCGCGCATCAGCTGCCACACGACGGCTTCATGAGTGAGTGAATGAATGAGTGAGTGATTAAGAAAGAGTAAGTGAATGAGTCAGCGAGTCAGCGAGTGAATGAGTGAGTGAGGGAGTGAGTGAACGTGAATGAATGAGCAAGTAAATGAGAGACAATGAATGAGTGAATAAACGAATGAATGAATGAATGAATGAATGAATGAATGAATGAATGAATGAATGAATGAATGAATGAATGAATGAATGAATGAATGAATGAATGAATGAATGAATGAATGAATGAATGAATGAATGAATGAATGAATGAATGAATGAATAAGAAAAAGAGAGAGAGATAGAGAGAGAAAGACGGGGAGAGATAGAGAGTGTGTAAGTAAGTTAGCAAGCGTGGCAGTATAGCACGTAAAAATTTATCAAATATAGCTGACATTTTGAAAAAAAATCATCACTAATTAAAAATTTGATGAAAGTTTTTATAATAAATAAAAATAAAAGCTTGGACGAAAACGAACCCAATGTCAAGGTCTGATTGCCATCGTATAGGTCCTTTCCATCGATACCAACCAATGAAAAACCGCGTGTTCTGCCCAGTTTGACTACATAGTTACAATTTTCTGAAAAAAAATAAAGATAAATTGATTTGTCTGATTTGAAAATTTTTGAAAAATTAAAATAAAATTGAAATTTACATGAAAATTATTGAGGAATAAAAATTAATAAAAATTTGAGTTGGGATTTAATTTGTTCTGAGAATTTTAAACAACTTATGAACGAAGCAGCAGAATAAAAAATAATTTTCATTTAAAAATTCCACGATGAGGTGAAAAATTTGAAAAAAAAAGAGAGAAAATGACGTCACCGATTTTCTCCATAACTTTTCTACGTGGATGGAAGACCTTTTTAACTCTGAACCATTGTACGCACCCTGGTTTGATGATGTCATAAATTTGAAAGATTACCAATCCGTCCGTCAGGTCTCCGTACAGATAATTCACGTACGGAGTCACGCCCAAACTATTCATCCAGTTACGATAGCCTGTTGGTTGTGATGATGATCATGGAGAAGATGATGATGATAGTAATGTGATGATGGTGGTGGTGATAATGATGGTGATGACGACGACGATGATGATGATGATGATAGAGATAATGATGGTAGTAGTAGCAGTTATATTGGTGATGATAGTGAATTTTATTTTATTTTAAGATGGCGGTAATATAAAATAGGTACGATGCTGGTTTTGACACCATTATTAACAGAGAGGATGATAATGACGTTGTTAATGTTGAAGTCATCATTGAAGACGTAAAATATACCGATGATGATGATGTCATTTTCGAAGAGGACAAAATGATAATAATGATGTCAGTATTGATACATCTGACAAAACCTACTTTTCTCCTCCCTGGTTTCATTGTAGAGAATCCTCTCAACCACCTCTCCGCCATTCATCGCGAACTCGCCGCCGTTAATTTCCTCAATAGCTGAGTACATGTTAAACAGGTTAGCCACGAATGCCATGTTCAACTTCTGGTTTCCCTGAACAATGTCTTCAGCTGTCACAAAACTACGGCAGCCAATCAAATCGGCCTGCTTCAAGGTTAGCTCCGCCCTTTTGTGAACGTCTTCTTCCTGTTGGTTAGATTTTTATTTTTTGATGACTTGGTTAAATTTTAATCCTAGTTCAACTCTATTTAACAAATAAATTTCTAGATTTTGTATGCTATTTGAAAATTTTAGGAACTTCAAACAAATATTAACAATAATATTTACATATAAAAATTATACTATGCACCAGATGATCAAACTCAGAAACCTAACACAACCAAATTTTCCAAACAAATCACAAAACCTTCAGTGGCGCCAGCGTGAGACCAGCACTTTCCGGAGCGATCCTCTTCAGTAGATAAATGTACGCCACAGAATCTGAAACATCGGATGAAAAGTTAGCAACTCTTTTATCTGTTCCTGACCTTTCTAGGTGGTAGTTCACCCATTTTAGGAGAACTTGTTCCGGGGTTTGTTGTTGGAAGCCCGCCAGAGGATCCATGTCCTCTGACTGGTAGAGAGTGATCAGGTCCGGATGGTCGTGGAGGTTGATTTCTGAGAGGAGTCCGATCTGTGGTTGGTTGAAGTGGTAGGTGGTGTGGAAAGTTGTGGCGGGGGTTTTGTTGTGATTTGTGTTTAGTTGATGATTGTTGTTATCAAATTTTTGCAATCACCTAACCAACCAACCGACCAACCAACCACCAATCAGCCAATTAACCAATCAACCAACCAACCAGCCAACCAACCAACCAACCAACCAACCACCAACCAACCAACCCTGATAATCTGCCAAAGCAGGCCAAGCACCAAATGTGGTTTTCCGGTTTCGATATCTTCCGGGCCAATGTTGACGAGGTGGCACCCGATGACCCGGGCAGAGTTCAAAGCCAAGGTCAAATTTTCGTGCACTTGGTATATGTTCAGTTTGCTCGTCGAGTTAGCTGTTGTAGATAGTGAAAATGGAGGATAGTAATAAGAAAAAATAAAAAGTTCATAAACAAAAATAATAACAGAGTATTATCAATACAATGGCGTTCCAATATAATTTATAACAATAATATAAAATTAGTGATAAATTATGCCGATAATTTTAAATAATCTTTAATAATAATAACGTATATTAATGGCTCTTTCGTCAATAGTGGCAGGTGCCGATTTGTTGATCAGCTTGCTGTTGATAATTGAGAAAATAAAAAATAATTATTAATAACAATAATAATATTATTTATTATATGATTGTAATAATTGTTTTAATAATAACAATAATGATACAAAGAATGATATCTATGGCAAAAATTAATATAAATATTTGTGTCAGTGAGAACACCTAACTAGAGTATTACTACTACAACTACTACTACCGCTGCTGCTACTACTACCGCTACACTAAAAATACAAAATAATAAAAAAAAAATATAATCTTCTAAAAATTATCATAATTTTTTTTGTAGTAAAATATCGTCTTTCGGCGGATGGAAATATTTTTAATGAGTTAAAATAAAGCTTAACGCTAAGTGTGAATAAATTTTTAGTTTAATTCGATCCAATTAAAAATGCTATATTATTTTTAAATTAAAACATATCCGGGATTAATTAGAAATTCTCTATAATATCATTAACATCGTCGTCGTCATCATCATCGTCATCAGCATCATTATAACCAACATCATGTTTATCAGAAGTTGTCACTTGTAGTAGTAGTAGTGGTAGTAGTAGTAGTAGTAGTAGTAGTAGTAGTAGTAATAGTAGTAGTAGTAGAAGTTGTTGTAGTTGCAGCAGCAGTAGTAGTTGTAATAGTAATATTTTTCTAGCGCTTATCATAAAAATTTTTTTAGCACTAACCACAAGATAACTCCGTCGGAGCACTTAATGTATAAATCCCTGGTCTGCGGATTCAGTGGCAGGTAGGTCGAACAATCAGGATCTGATCCCAAGTTCCTTGATTGGTCGATTGATTGATTAGTTGTTCGTGGTTAGTGAGTTGGTTGGTCAGTGAGTAGGTTGGTTATTAAGTTGGTTGGCTAATGAGTCGAATGGTTGGTTAAATGGTTGATTGTTTGGTCATCATCTTTACTTAATAAAAACATCTTCATCACCAACACACCAACGCACAAACACACCACACCACACGACCACCACACGACCGCCACAAGACCACCAACCTATTGATCCAGTTGGTAAAAGCCACTTGTTCCTCTTTCTTGACAGTGTGTGTGGTGCCCTCGGTAGACGTTGGAGACATGCCACCGTAGTTGTCCAGGTCTTTCGGGGCCGAAATCGTTGAACGAAATGTACTGCCTATGTCATTTTCAGTCCGAATCAGCGCGTATAACTGTTGTAGTTGTTGTTGGTTGTAGTTGTTGTTGTGTTTAGTTGTTGCTGGTTGTAGTGTAGTTGTTGTTGGTTGTAATAGTTGTTTGTTGTAGTAGTTGTTAGTTGTAGTTGTTAATAATTGTTGTGTCGGTGTTGTGCTTGTTAGTTTTGTTGTATTAGTGAAAATTGCGTTGTTGAGTCTGCCAATCCTTTTTTGTCATTTTTATTGGAATATTTTTAAAAATTGTAACAACTTCATTAATTAGAAGAACCAACAACAACAAGAATTTACCGATTTGAATGTCTCAAAGTCGACAAAATCGTTCGACTCGATCGATCGAGTCTTCTCAATGGTGTCTCGAATCTGGTAGGTCGCTATGCGAACACCGGCTTTCGAGAGGGCCTCACCAATGTCCGACACGTTTATGTGACCCTTTTTGTCTGAATCAATCTGAGATGACAAAAATGATTGAAAAAAAGTAATTTGTATTTGTATTTTGAAAAATTTATTTTAATTTTTATGGTTTTATGATGATGATGAGGAGGAGGATGACGACGACGATGATGATGGTTATGATGATGATGATGATGATGACGATGATGATGGTGATGACGATGATGACGATGATGGTGATGATGACAACTACGATGTAAAGATGAAAAAGTGATTATACCGATGTTGAAAATGAAGGGGAATGTGATAAAATAAAAAAAACACAATGAAAATGAGTGAACAATACAAATAATAATAATAATAATAATGATAATAATAATAGTAATGATGATGATAATAATAATATTAATAATAATAATAATAATTCTGATATCAGAAGTTATCTGATTGATAATAAAAATCATTGTTGTTCTGTTCCAGATAACCCTTATCAAACTGTGGCATGGCATATTTTCAGTCATTGATGATGATAACGAATATGATGATGATGACGATGAAAACGACGAGGATGAGAATGGTGGTGCTGATAATGATGATGACGATGTGAGAATGATAGTTATGATGGTAGCAAAAATAGAAGAATAAATTTTGTTTCATATTAATGCTACAATTATTGCAATTACTACTGCTACATTCATTGTTGATGTTATGGCCTTGACATTTACCATATCTGTCTGTCTGTCTGTCTCTCTCTCTCTCTCTCTCTCTCTCTCTCTCTCTCTCTCTCTCTCTCTCTCTCTTTCTCACACACACAGGCAACATACACACACACACACACACACACTCACAAATATTATATAATATATTATAAACACCAGTTAGCTTCAAAACTTCTAGAATATTTCAAGTGCTTGCAACCTACCATCGTCAACATCGTCCTCAAATAGCTTAACCGTACAATATTCACTGGTAATACATACACACGTGACATTCTACGCACACATACAAGCACATACACACACATACAAATACATACACATACGTATACATACACGTATACAAACACGTACACATACACACATATTTATTAATCAGACATTTACAGGTAAGAGTATAATAAACTCGACACTCACAAAAAATGTCAACAATTTGACCGTTCATCAATGAGTTGATACATACATAAGATACTAATTCACACAATTAAATGATATATATACACATAAAATACTAATTTACACAATTTAATGATATCACATTATATTCTCACAGTAGATACATAAGATACTAAGCTCATACTCACGTGGTTACAACAAAATCATTTAAATGCACATATGTGTAAAACAAAAAAGTTAAAATCCTAAAAAAAACTAAGCTATACGGTCACACGCTTTTTGACACACGCAAATGCGAGTTTCTAGAAGCGTAATATCTGAGGCCGTGGGTACTACTGTTGCGATCGCTACGCCAGACTCTTTCATCATTAACGTTCTCTTACCATTTATTGATTGAATAATTCAAATTGTAAAATTTTTAACTTTTAAATTAAAATAAAGTCTCACCGCGTCAAAAATACTCTTGATGTCGTCTAACTGGTCTTTTGAAACTACTACCTTTTGCTGTTGATGCTGCTGCTGCTGTTGCGACATGATTTTGCTGTTGTTGTTGATGTTGTTGTTGTTGATGTTGTTGTTGATGATGTTGTTGATGATGTTGTTGATGATGTTGCTGTCTTTATTGATGTCTTAAACTTGTTATAGTAGTTGCTGCCAAAGTTTTATCACGGAGTGATGTAATGATGATATTTTATTCAAGTTTAAAATTGCTTGATAATGTTTTTTTTTTTGAAAATTTTCGTTTTATAAACATGAATTTATATATTTAAAATTTAATAATTAAAACAATTATTGTTTAATTTATTTATTCAAATTAAAATAAACATTTATTTTCAGATAAAAAATATTTTTTTAAATAAACTCTTTCATGAAATGTACACACCTTTAAAGTTTTCCGAAGCTGGCTCTATTTATATTTATATACGGTATCCGCAACTTTATACTGCAACTAAAAACAAATAATTTTATGTTGAATTAATTATAACATGTTAATTATTTAACAACAACATTAATAATAATAATAATAATAATAATAATAATAATAATAATAATAATAATAATAGCAATAATAATAATTAATATTTTTGTAGTTAAAATAACCAAGAAATATACTTGTGAAATGGCGACTTATTAATATTAACGAGTTGAGACCTGCTGCTAAAATACACTGCATACGTACAAAGGCATGTAATATTATTGTAACTTAACTAAGTACTGCTACTTTTGCTGCTACTACTGCTGCTACTTTTGTTACTACTGCTACTACACCTCAAGTATAACGTTATTCATGTAATGAATTGTAATGTATTTTAGTGTACTGTCATGTAATTTCATTTGATGTGTGTTGTTTTCAGTGTACTACACAAATGTATGGCATCGAACTAATGCTAAATAGGGTTATGTTATCGCTATTAGTATTTTTATTATTATTTTTATTGTTGTTGTTGATTTTTGTCAAGTTGAAATTTTTTAAAAAACTTAGATTGAATTAAAATCTAATTTGAACATAGTTTAATAACATTTTTTTATAAAAATTTTAAAAAATGTTCTTCGATTGACAGGATGGGCAAGGCTTCGCAGAGTTGATAATGAATGCATGGCGGCCTAGTTCGAGTACACAAGCCCTCATATATAACATCTATTACGTTTATGCACCTTCACATGCTTTAATTTAGTTAATCTTATGCAAAGTTTAAGAATCATATTTTAAAATTAATCTTTTTATTAAATTTTGGTTTAATTTCAAATTTTCAAAGTTGTTTAAAAATATAAACAGATAAAAAACACAAACTCAGACGTGTTGTTTATTTATATTTCATACACGTATGTATACGTATGTATGTACTGTACATGTTTATTGGAAGGAAATATAACATTTGACATTAGTTCTATACTCCCTTGTATGCAGCAGTAGCACAGTTCCTACACGGAAGTGCCGACCTCATATGCAGTGTATAAAAGCGAAATCAGGTAGGAATGTAACATAAAAAAACACAAATAGCAGAGAGAGGGGGCTGCAAAGAGCTGTACTCAAATGAAACAACAGCAAAGATTAATGACAAGTTTGTGGACCGTCCAGTTTGCTAAGAGCCAGCACCGCTGAAGTCTAAAGTGGCTCGGGCAATTAATCATGGGAAGACGGAAAAACGAGCGAATGGGTTCTAAAATAGCTTGAAGAACAACGAAAATTACTGCCTGAAGTAAAAAAGAGAAAATTAAGCTACATTAGTCACATCTTCAGGAAACACATGGAAAAGATATAATACAAGGGACGCTGTGCGTATCAAATCAAAGTGGAAGGAAGAGAAAAAGATGGATCGGTAAAATGAAGAACGAATTTTAAAATGGAGGAGTTGCTGAGAAAGACACAGGAAGGACAGAGTTAACTGGAAAAAACATGTTCATACTACTGCCTATCCTAGGATTGATGATGGTTAAAGACAATTCATCTTTTCTATCTAATATTTATTCATCTGATCAACAAAAATTTCTGAGAAACCAAGAAAATCTAATGCAGTTCAAATACAATTCAGCATGTGGTGCAACTATTTTAAGCGTTCCATTAAAAAATGCACGAAATTGTAGTAATGTAGTAAGTGACTTTATTTAAAGTTGCAGTAAATTTAACGAATATTTATTTAAACTGCTTGACCAGAACCATCTCTTTCTTCACTTGGCGATCTTTTAAAACGTTTTCCACTCACATTATCATCATCACTGCCATCATTTTCATCATCGTTGTCATCGTCAACATCGTCATCATCGTTGTCGTCGTCGTCTTCCTCATTTTCTTCATTGTCCGAATCGTTTTCATCACGGATATCACATCGGTTACTTCGGCAAATATCGCCCTTGATTCCACTATCACAATCATCGCCCCGGACATCATCCTCATCAACATCATCTTCATCATCATCCTCATCATCATTGTTATCATCATCATCATCATCATCATCCTGATGATGATTATGGAAGCAGTCATCACCGAGAAGAGTCGAATGCACCTCTTCGTGTTGTTGTTGTTGCGGCGTTGAAACCTGCGCACACGTCTGTGCGGCCGCGTCGCTTACGTTTAGTGGCGCGTGGTGGTGATGGTGGTGGTGATAGTAGTAGCCGTTTAAATGATGATGATGATGCGGATGGTGGTAGAGTGGCGAGCAGTAGGTCGGGTAGGGGAAGGTAGGGGCGTGCGTAATCATGACGTCATCGAGTAGTAGTGTTGATAGTTCGTTTTTGGCAGGCGATTGTTGACTGTTGCCGCTGCTAGGAATGACATTTTTGTTGTTGTTGTTAACGTCGTTACTGTTATTATTACCGTTATTGTTATTGTTGTTGTTGTTATTGTTATTGTTGTTGTTGTTGTTGTTGTTGCCATGGTAACCAGTGTAGTGGTTAGACAGGTAGTTGATTGGACAGGTAACTGACGAATGGCAGTAGGCAGAGTAGAAATTAAAATCGCAGTTCACTTTTAGCATCGCATTTACGTCGGCAAACGTGGTAGTGGGCACTTGTAGCGCAAAGTTGTTGCTAACAACTGCATTACTACTGATGCTACAACTGTTACGACTGTTACTGCTCATTGTTGTTGTTGTTGTTGTTGTTGTTGTTGTTGTTGTTGTTGTTGTTGTTGTTGTTGTTGTTGTTGTTGTTGTTGTTGTTGTTGTGATAGTAGAACCATTATTAACGTCGTTGGTGTCAGTGTCTTTGTCTTCGTTTTTCGTACTAAAACTATCCTCACAAATCATTGTAGTGTCGACAGGTAAAACATCTATGGTAGCGACATTTGTGGTAGTTGTAGTAGTTGTAGTAGTGGTAGTAACAACTGTAGTAACGGTGATAGTAGCTACTGTAGTAACTGCTACTGGTGCAATATTTTCAGAAGAGAGAAAAGATTGATCGAGTGAGAGTAATGAATGTTTATGATGTGTGGTGCTAGTGTTATGATGCGACTGGTAAGAGAGATAGTTCGGTGAGGGTATCTGGTATGGGTGGATGTAGTTTTGGTGGTGGTAGAAATGGTGATTATTCTTATGGTGGTAATGGTGGTGGTGGTAAAGCGCCGGTGGCGGGTGTGTGGGGTAGTAACCTGTCTGGAAGTAGAAATGAGTGTATGGATGGTGGTGCTGATGGTAGTGCGGGTGACAGTGGGCTAGTGGCGGAAGACCGTGCAACTGATTTTCAATGTTAGTGTATGCTTGTTGGATGTTGTTGTTGTTTATGTTGCTATTGTTGCATGTTAGTGTTGCTATTGTTGTTAGTGTTGTTGTGTGAGTTAGTAAGCAGAGTATGTTGAGTTGCTAAAGAATCGTCGTCGTTGTTGTTGTTGCTGTTATTGTTGTTGTTGCTGTTGTTGTTGCATATTTTGTTGCTGTTGCAATCATCAGTCGCTAGATTATGGTGTTGTTGCTTGTTGCTGCTGACTACTTTGTTGGTTGTTAAATCCATTAAATAACATGGTTTTAACGTGTTGTTGTTGTTGATGATGTTATTGTTAATGGTGTTGTTGTTGTTGTTTTGTTGTTTTGTGATTAATTTATCGCCATGCATATTGTAACGTTTGTTTCCGTACTTTTCGGTCGGGCTGAACAATTCTACATATGATTTGTTGTTGTGGTTGTTGTTGTTGTTGTTGTTGTTGTTGGAAGTTGTATTGTTGTTGTTGTTGATATTGTTGTGGTTGTTGGAGTAGCCATTGCAATCAACAGCGTAAACATTTTCAGATTTTAACAGAACGTTCAATAGCGATTTGTTTGAATGAAAACTCTGTTGGCTGTGATAAAATCCTTCGCTTTCCATTTTCTGGTAATGTTGTTGTTGTTGTTGTTGCTGCTGCTGCTGCTGTTGATGATGAGACTGTTGCAGATGTTGTTGTTGCTGTCGTAAGTGTTGCTGTTGTTGTTGTTGTTGCAAATTTTGCTGTTGTTGTAGTTGCTGCTGCTGTTGCTGCATGTTAATCTTGACGTCATCTTTCCCGCTCGTTCGTGATGGTGACGTGCTTTCTGGAAATGACGTGATGAGAAGGACGTCTGGGTCGCAAACGAACCTGTACACGTATCTTTATAAGGGGTAGAAGAGGTAAAGTTAATAGATATAGTACGAATTGTATAACTATAAGTAGTACACTGTTTAGTACGTGTACCATTGATGCGATAAGTACAATGTACAATCAAGGTTTTTAACGTATATTTTCAACCCGTCGTTAAACTGAACAGTCAAATGTCGACAGATGATGTGATTAGTTTGACGATTTTGATGAAAACAGATTAAAAAGCAGATAGAAAATGTATTTGAGGCAGTATCTATTTGTGACTTTTTATCTTTATCAGTATATACATCATTATACAG